CAGGGCTGGTAGATGGGTAGGAATTAGAGGGTGAGGCCTGCCATCTAAATCCAAGATGCAGCCTCATTGACCATGTGCGTCAGAGGCAGCGGGGCAAGCAAAGACTGCATTACCCCCTTCCAAAATGTTTGTTCACCTGGACATTGTGGGATCCATCACACGGGGAGTCCAAACCCAGCCTTGGGGGTGGGGTAGGGGGAACTGGGGGAGTTTGGTGGGGATAGATGCTCTATAACAGGGTGACAAAGTTAAAATTGGATATTTGCAGCCAACCTCCTCCAGAAACCCTTTAGGTTGTGGAATCTCCATTGTTGAAGGTTTTTAAGACCCGGGTAGACAAATCCTTAGCTGGGATGATCTAGTTGGGGCTGGGTTGGACCTCTCAGGTCCCTTCCAGCCCTTGTTTTCTATGGTTGTCATGGTTCCCTCAAGGGATCACCACCCATGGGTTAATAAATACTCCTCTAGGCAAACATCGGGCCTCTTGTGTTAGTATCTGAGGCACGAGCAGATGCAGACAGCTGTGCTTGCACATAAGACAAGAAGGACGAGGACCAACAGAGCAGCCGTGGGTAGCTCCGATGTACAAAAATACATTTATTTTCAACAATTTCAAAACCACTGCCTTTTTTTACAGTAGAAATATTCAAATGGAACAATAAAACCAAGAACAGTATATATATATATATGTATATATATATGATTCATGCATTTGTTGTTTTACTGTGTTTAATACAAGTATTGCAATTGTCTGCCCCGTTTCAGCCTTAAAACATGAAAGATGTGTGAGAGTGATGCTCTTCCAACATCTTGGAAAGAGCACAGAGGATTCTGGCCTGGATCCTCAGGCTCAACCAAGCAGTGATAAGTGCTGGAGCTACAGGAAAGTCTGTAGATTAATGCCAACTATGTATTTCCCAATCCCAGGACTAAGTAGGAACTGTGGATTTAGGCCATCTTTGTATTGCCTAATCCCAGGACGAACTGGGACTTTTAGAGCAATTTAGAGCAACCTCAAGGTTGCTCTAATTTATGGTGGCTGCAGCCCTGGATTGCTGGAGTACGTGAGTTTTTCAGCTTTGCCCCTTTGCCTTCATACCTCCTCCATAAGGACCTATGAAGGAGGGGTGATGTAGAGCTGGTGACCGCATAAGGGAAACTCTAATCTTGCTGTATATGCCCAAAATATGGTCACAGTGAGCCACAGGGCATGCAGCAGGGCCCATAATCTTCTGTATTATTTCTATAGGTGTAGCTACAATTGATCTTTCCTTGGGGGCATGAGGATGGACTAGATGGCCACCTGAGGTCTTTCCCAGCCCTCTTTTCCTATGATTTTATACTACGGCTAATATAATGGTGTTCATGTCTTTCTCATTGCCTCAGCAGCGTCCGTCACAGGGGAATCACATCGTTAAGGAGACACAAAAAAATTACCTATTATTTTCCTTTGTTCCAAAAATGCATGACCCATGCACTTTGTAGGCAAATAAAGGGACCAACCCTGACAGCTTTGACTCTCCGTGGATTTACAAGACCCTGGTACACAAGATGGGGTCAGACACCTCCATGCTGTTCCCCATCAATGTACTTAAAAGGGAAAAGGCCAAATCTTTTCATCTGTACTTAGGGCCCAATGTGGTGAGGGACTGAGACACCTCCAGGCACGATCCAAAGCTCACTGAGAAACTCCCATGTACTTCAGTGGGCTTTGAAATTGCCCCATTAGTCACACTGGGTCTAATGAAAGATGAGGTTTGCTCAGCAGAAGCACCTGCCAAAATGTTTCCATCTGTATTTCCAGACCAAAAGAAATAGCTTATTAAATGACTCGGTGTTTTCTCGTGACAAAAAACAGCAATATTTCAAACCAGGCAGGTGTCTCACTGCCATGAAGCATCTCTCTGCTAAAAAGATACTTGCTTTGTTGACTGGTAGATCTTTTCCCTTCTGCCCTACCCTTCCCAA